AGGCCTTAGGCATCATACTAAATTATCAATAAGACTCAAACTTTTATTTTAAATAAGAACATTCAATAGTACACACAATGAACTAGGTTTCTTAATACCGTTGAGCTAAAGTAATTGGTAGCTTATAACTCATACTTATAAAGAGCTTGTAGTCTACTGATATTATATACGGGTGGAAATGTGTCTTTTAGTCCGTTAGCTTATTTGTTTAATTGTTTAATGTTCTAAGTTGGTAGTCCAAAAGTTTAAATAATAGCTTTTATTGGATAAAAATAAATGTAAGTTTTTTTGAAAGCTATAAAATAACACAAAATATTAAATATAAAAGTTAACACAACTCGTAAAATTACTTAAAATAGCTATGAAACATTTTTCTTAAAAACTGATTTTTTAAATATTTTTATAAATTCGTTGCCAAATATACCACGAATTTGATCAAAACGCTATTTTATAAGAAATTATACATTTATAGTTTTCTTGAATATATAAAGAAAAAATGAGAATTTTATAAAGTGAAGTTGACTTAAATTGGTAACTGGGGCCCATTTATCTCGATATTCAAACTCTAGTACTAGTTTACTACACTACCCATTGACTAGAATTAGTCGACGACTTTAATTCCCTTTTCCACTCCCATATTCACCAACTTCAAACCAACTATGCTATATAACTTGTACATCATTCAATAAACACACAACATTACTCTGGATTAATAAAAATGAAATGAAACACAGAATTGAGAATTCCAATCCCTTTATAATCTGGCCATCGTTGTAAAGAGATAAATCGAAGGTAGACCCGCCGGAAACCGCCATGGCTGCCTTGACAACATCACTGTCGATATTATCATTCTTGTTCTACTGAATTCTATTCCAATCCCATCATGCTCTTGTCCGATTCATCAAAACAAGCTCTTCTTCGATTCAAATCCACCATCACCACCATCTTCAATTCCAACTCCGACCCCAACTCAGATGATTATGTACCATTCGAAGAACTAGATTCATGGAGTCCAAAATCCGATTGTTGCTCATGGGACCGTGTCAATTGCACCAGAACCAGCAACAAAACCAGAATCGTCACCGAGCTCCACCTAGACGCTGTCGTTCCCCTGTTTGTTGACCTGGTTCCGGTGTTCTCCAATATCTTGAATCCCCTTTTCGAAATCCAATCCCTGAAATTCCTCGATATCTCCATGAATTCGTTGGTAGGTGAGATCCCCGGAAATGGGTTTGGTAACCTTACCGGACTTGTTCATCTTGACATGATGCAGAACAGCTTCAATGGCTCCATCCCCGACCAACTTTTCCGGTTAACAAATCTACGTTACTTGGATATGAGCACCAATTACCTTGAAGGTGGACTAGGGCCTGAACTGGTTTCTCTTCGGAACTTGACAACATTAATGTTGAGTGTGAATCGTTTCCAGGGTATGATTCCTCCGTCGCTTTTCAAACTTGAATCTCTTCGCTTTCTGGATCTAAGCAACAACAGTCTCACCGGTGGTTTAAGTTCTGAAATTGGAAACCTTCGGAATCTTGAATCCTTGAAGCTGAATGAGAATTTTATTACCGGAAGTATCCCGGAGGAAATTGGAAATCTGACTAAGTTAAAGGAACTTTGGGTAGGAAAGAATCAATTTTCCGGTGGAATCCCCTCTTCGGTTGAAAATCTCAAGGATTTAGAATCCCTAGACCTGTCTGGAAATTCGTTCTCCCTCCAAATTCCTTTTGGCATAGGAAGACTACCCAACATTACGACTCTTGATCTGAGTAAGAACCAGTTCATGGGTCCAATCCCACCATCGATGCAAAACTTAAGAAAGTTAGAAACCCTTCAGCTCAAGAACAACATGCTCGCCGGAGAAATCCCAACATGGTTATTCAACATCAGAAGTTTAAAGAAATTGTTCATCGGAGGAAAAGGTAACCGCTTGATTTGGAATAATAAAACAAAAATCGTTCCAAAATGTAAGCTAGAACAGATCTCCATGTCTTCCTGTGGATTTTCCGGTGAGATTCCTGAATGGATTTCTTCACAGAAAGACTTGAATCTTCTTGATTTGAGCCAGAATCAATTGGAGGGGGAGTTTCCCAATTGGCTTGCTAAGATGGACATCGGAAGCATAATCTTGTCAGATAACAAGCTTACTGGATCACTCCCGCCTCGCTTATTTGAATCTTTAAGTTTATCAATTCTTGCGTTGTCCCGGAACAATTTTTCCGGCGAGTTACCGGAGAATATAGGAAACGCCAGAGCAATCATGCTTCTTATGTTGTCGGGAAATAATTTCTCCGGCCAAATTCCAATGTCTATATCCAATATTTACCGGTTACTACTTCTGGATTTGTCTAGAAATAGATTTTCCGGCGACAAATTTCCAGTGTTTGGAGATAACCCTCTTCTTGCTTACATCGATTTGTCATACAACGAATTCTCCGGCGAGATTCCGGTGACTTTTTCCACAGAAACTCAGATTCTATCTCTTGGTGGGAATAGATTTTCCGGCAACCTGCCCCGGAATTTGACCAACTTGGTCAACCTCGAACATCTTGATCTTCATGACAACGATATCACCGGAAATTTCCACGAAGTTCTTCCTCAAATCCCGAATTTGCAAGTTCTAAGCTTAAGAAACAATTCCCTAGAAGGATTTATCCCAAGAACAATCTCCAACCTCACTTCACTCCGGATTCTTGATGTCTCCGGGAACAACCTCGGCGGAATCATCCCACCGGAGATCGGAAACTTAGCAAGAATGATAAACACTCCGGACTTGTCACCAACGTATGACATCTTCAACTTTTTAATCGAGTTTCAAGACTTGATATTAAACTGGAAGAACTCTTTTCGAGGGCTATCAAGTCGGAGCTTAGACATCTACTCATTCTTGGATTTGTCAGAAAACAGAATCTCCGGCGAGATTCCGGCATCGTTAGGCAATCTCAAAGGCTTGAAACTTCTCAACATTTCACACAATGACATCTCCGGGAATATTCCGGTGACTTTTGGGAATCTGAAGGGAATAGAGAGCTTGGATTTATCACATAACAAAATCTCGGGTTCGATTCCTCAATCACTGGGAAAGCTTGATCAACTTACGATTCTTGATGTGAGCAATAACAGGCTGACAGGTAGGATTCCGGTGGGTGGACAGATGGACACGATGAATGAGTTGAAGTATTTTGCAAACAACAGCGGATTATGTGGCATGCAGATTAGGATCATATGTCCAGAGGATGTTACATCATCAGAAGGAGAAGATGAAGAAGACAAGAAAGATTCATGGATTATGTGGGAGGGAACTTGGATCGGATTTCCAGTTGGGTTTTTTTCATCGATCTTGATCATGGGCTACTCACTGAATTTTCTACATCTGTTCAAATTCTGGTGAAAATGTGTTGTAATTTGTAAAATAACAAGAATCACAAGATTATATCTTTGTAGTATTAATAATCATCAAGATTTCGTTTCTGTTCTTTGCATAAATCCTCATTTTGGTCAAAAGGGTTATCGAAAAACTCAAGAAAAAGGCGAAATCCGAAATTAAAGTACAATAAAATGATAAAAAAGCAACAAACTTTACTGGGATTTTCATTATCAGATGAAGAACAGAAGCTCGTTAATAACATAAATTCTTACATCGGAAAGCGTGAAAATAAATTAGAAATTGAAATCTAAAAATGGAGCTCAGATCTTTGCAAGACACTCGATCTTTATCTCCAATTCAATGAGTAAATGAATGGACGAACTTACAGCCGATCTTTACTTATTCTATCGACATGGTGATGGTTTTAAAACATCAAAGTATCGTGCAAAAGCAACCTCCATTATCGTCTTCGTTGTCTGTATCTCCTGTTTCACTGTAAGAAAAAGTAACAAATTAATAATTCACGAAATATCAGATCATAATCGAAGTGAATTTCATGTAAAATCATGATAGAATACAAGTAAATTGATGAAGAAAGCTAAACCTGGATTCAAATTCTTTGATATCAACAAGTTGTTTGCCTAAACTATCCATCCATTGCACTTTTTTTCTTTCAATTGGCGATCTTGATTCGGGGTCACACTTGTTCTTCATACAACTTCTGAGAACAATAGTTTCGATCTCTGGTTCTTGCTTTTCATCTTCGGAAATCTCTTTATTGACTTCAATAACTTCTTCAACATGATTTTGATCACATGGATCGATTACAACTGATGAAGGAGGGACATGAGGGGAATTTTCCAATTTCAAAGGGCCAGAATTGTAAAGATGAGTAGCAGTTGAAGGTTTGCAGAAACATATGAATGAAGGACAGTGGATCTTGCAGAACAAAACCCTCATGAAAATACTCTTCATTAACTAATCACTCATCTGTAAAACTCACAAATTCAACCCATTAATCAAGAAACAAGAACAAAAACCCAAACATCGATCTTAAATCCCTAAAAATGAATTGGGATTTTTTTTTTTTTCAATATTTCGATATTGGCAATTTGGCACTCATCTTTAACAAATCAAGTGGCAAGATTCATTAAAAGGTGAAATCTTGGGAGAAAATAAAGATCACCCAGAAGAATTCGAGGCAAATAATGATGACCCAAAACTCGGATTTCTTGCTAAAAGCAGAGGAAATCTAAATTTGAGACCAGATGCTTTGCAAAGAATGAAGAAAAGAAGAAAAAGAATACCTCCCAAACAAGAATTTGTTCTCAAGACATGAATTTATTATCCACAAATCTCTGTTTCCTGAGTTACTATTTTAAAAGAGAAAGGAATAAGACAAGACAGTTTTTTTGTAACCTTTATCTTCTTCTTAAAGAGAAATAGGGACAGGAAGAAAGAAGCATTAATGAATCTTTATTGACAATTCTGCCCTCCAAGATAAGGAATATTAGGAAAACGCAAGAAATCATGTTAACTAGTAGTAATTCCTTCCAACAAGATCAAGAATCTGATTTCTATTTCGATAAAGCAAAGAAAAGATTACTTTAAAGTAAAGATGTCATGGCCCAAATCAAGCCATGAAACTCGACATACAATTAAATAGAGGTGGATCAATGAAGCATAAGAGACAAACAAAGGATAAATAAATTGAGAAGATGATTGGGAGTGTGAGCTGTCGAAATAAATTATATAGAATTAGTCAAAAGTTAGGAAAAGGATACCTACAAAAGTCATCAATTTGCTATTTTGATAGGCAAAATCTAGTTTCAGCACATTCTCTAATCTTTCTAACTGTTCTTTAACTTACAAGAATATATATAGTATGTGTGTCATTACTCATAAGTAACTGTCATGACTCATGTTTTTCTAACCTTTTCTCTCCTTTTTCCTTGGGGTATTTTGCCCTTTTGTTAAAGGAACTTTTGTCATTGAAAGATCCACTTGATAATAAGCAAGGCTAGAATTCTCTTTTTTTTTTTCCTGCAACAAAAGTATACTCTATTCAGTAGATCTAATAATTTGGATTTTAATTTGTCTTAAAATAATCATAAGATTTATATTTTGTATAGAGTTTTTATTAGAGTTATACGTTTATTTGTTAGGAATCACTACAAGATTTTGGTATTGTTAATTTGAACTATAAATTTGTTCGTATTGTTTATATTGAGCCATAATGCAATGTCCCGGTGTTTGATTACATCCAAAAATAATTTTATGATATTAAATAATGAGAATTAGATAATTAATCATAATAAAACAAATAATAATGGTGTGTTTTGTTCACGGATTTCGAAAGAACTTGAAGGCACTGGAATGTGAATTCCAGTCTAAAATGCATTTGGTCGACAAAATCCTGATTTAATTCTTTATGTTAAATTAAATTCTGTCCATAGGACTTGGTTATTGTTTGGTTAAAGACAAAAATCTTCATTCTTTACTTTTTATTATAAAGAAAAAAATACGCTCTCACCTAATCTTTATTTAAATCACCACTCACTAAATCAAAACATATTATCATCATACATGTTTTGGTCAAAAATTACATAAGTAATTTAGTAACCAAATTAGTAAGTGTGATGTGATGTTTTAGGTAAAGATTTTAAGAAGAAGATTTACGAGATGCTTAAGTTTTTGCAAGATCCGAAGATCTTGGACGTGCCCAAGATCCTAGGAATACATTAATGTTGGGACTTGTTATAACGAAATATCAAAAAAAAATGTTGGTTTATTCTAAGATATAAGTACGTGTATACTTGAAAATTGGGACAAAAATATTGTTGAAGTAATAAGTCTTAAAATATTCAAAAAAAAGGGGCAAAATACCATAGAGTATCTTTGAGGTCATAATTGAACAAATAAAGTATACCAGTTGAATAAAGATTTGTTAAAAAGGGTTGTGAATATAGGAATGTATTAAACCACATATAATAAGTAAATTTGCGAAATAGGTTCTAAGATACTAAAAAATGTACTAAGATATTAGAAGATATCTTAGTGATTTTAACAATGTAAACAAATGAATAATCGAATAAAATACAGAAATAGGTTGTTATCGATTAAACAACAACAAATAAATAAAGTAAATGCATGAACACAAAGAGTTACGATGAAAGCCCTGAATCCTTTTGGATCTCCGACATAAAACCTCAGGAGGTGATGAAATCACCTGCATTGGAACTTATATTAAATCGAAATCAAATTAGAAGTGCTAGTTGATCTTAGAAATAGTGTAAATGTGCTCAAGTGTTGAGAGAATCAGAGAAGAAGTGACAATGGAAGTGTCTGTTGTCGGGTTTTTATTCAAAAATTGTTTCAAAAACATAAACAATGCAACGAAAGACTTAAGATTTGAACAAAAATAAAACTAATTTTATTCCCACCAATGATCATTTTGCAAGAGTTAGAAAGATTAAAACAACCATAGAAGAGAAAACATAACAACCTTTGAAGACTTTGATACTCATGGGAGGTTGGAAGTTGATGAAGATGACATTAAGCTCTAAATTAAGAGCTCTATAGAAGTATCCACCAAGCAATAGGGGTGGGAATCGGTTCGGTTTTTTGGTTTTTCGGTTTCCTCGAATCGGTTTCTTCGGATTGAAATATTTTTTTGTCCAATTCGAAAACCGAACCCAATCGAATTCAAATTCTCTAGACCAAACCGAAAACCAAATTCTAATTCGGTTTGTTCGGTTCGGTTTGAAAACCAAGGAAACTAAATATTAACTTAAAAAAATTCAAACATAAATTAAAATATTTTTAACATAGAAACCTAAAGTTGCAAACAGAAATATCTAAAGTTTCATACGAAATGATCAAGAGAGTAAATAAGTTAAAATGATTTCTAGTTTATAATTAATACTTTTATTTAATATAAAATATAAAATATATTTTTTAATTAATTGATTTATGAAATTCGGTTTTTCGGTCCGGTTTGATTTAAACTTCATGAGACCGAAACTCGAACCAAAAACCAAATTTACAATTCGGTTTGGTCTCAAACCAAACCTAAAACCGAATTTAAATATGGTTCGGTCTGAAATCGATTTCGGTTCGATTTGGTTTTCGGGTTTTTTGGTTCCGGACCAAATAATTTCCACCCCTACCAAGCAAGACAAAACCACCATATATGCTAGTATAACACTTGTAAAATGTTGTTCTTAAGCTTTAAGACATATGCCCAAAATATGTCTAAAGAGAACACACACTTTTAGCCTTCATCTTTTGCACCAAAAATGAAGAAATAAGAAGATGGGAAGAGAGCCCATGCTCTCGGTTGTTGGCAGCAAAAAACAAGTAAAAAGAAGCCAAAAAGAACAACCAACTTCACTTGATAAGCCCCTCTCTTATATATCGTCAAATGTATATTAAAGTGAAGACAATAAAATGACAAATGAAGCTTTTTTTACAAGCATGGGAGGAGTAATAAAATATTCAACACTCCAACTAGCCATACCTTTAATTATGTTAAAGTAGATGCTTGTAAGAGGCATGGTATTAAGCATTAAACAATTCAAAAGACAATCTACTCTCTAAGAGTTTATATTTTGGTAATATGAAGAATAAACACAAAAATTAAATGTCTTTTACTTAAACCATAACTAGCTAATTGGTACCATACTAAGTGACCACTCTAAGTGCCCAAAAAAGTTATATACAACATTGATAATCATACCATATGATATTAAGCTAGTTTTGTTCTCTTTATTATTATTTTCCAAAAAATAATAATTCACAATATGTTGGTAAAATATTATTTCCCAAAAATAATAAATTCTCAATTAGATACAAGTGTTGATATATTTATTAATAATCAAATTATACTAATAAAATAATCAATTGATGGTAACTTGCTATAATGTGTGACCCTATAGGATCATATATTATTAGCAATATCATTCTATAATGACTCTTGGACATATAAGATTTTTCAATCTCTCACTTGCGTAAGACTCATCATAGATTGATATAGACAGTGGTGAATGTCTAGCAACATGTCATTGTCCCCAATAACATATGACAAAGAATGTCATTCATCAACATCCAATTCCCAAAAGCTCAAAGCCTCAATTGATGTATTAAGGTAAGTTTATCAATTATCCCTTTGTTACAGACATCATGTTGAACAATAGCCTTGGATAACAATCAATCTCATTTGTAATTCAACTTTGGGTAACGCGCATTAGATGTCTAACTCTCAACACATAAGAGGAACAAATCCCATCTTGACTACATAAGCCTCTTGCATAGTTCACACCATACCTGAAAATGGCTTTTATAACTGCCCGGTTAAGGATCAACGTTTGACCATATCAAAGCATGATACTCCCTATACTTAAGTCCCACTATGTATCTCAGGTGTTAAGGATACAAAGATAGTACCTTTTAATCAATTCTCACTCATGACTGCGATCTATGAGTTGATCTTGATGCGGGTCCGTTCAGTACTAGTTCTCTGACAAGTACCTATGAAACTTGGTTACAACCACTTGCCCACATTCATCTAGTAAGAGTCAACCAATCCAATTCATATTAGTCTTACTTTATACTTGCTCCCGCAATTACAACTGACTATGAACTTTTAGAATAATAAGATTATTCATGGATTAAGCATGTTAATATATAACACAACAAGTATTAATGTGATGATCATATCCCAATATATCAAAACATTATGTAATAGTTGTTGTTACAATGTTCCAATATCCGAATACTAAATCCAAATCAAAAATCCCATTTCTAGAATAATAAAGTCTCATAGTTGAAGTGTGACCACTCATACTTAGCTTAAAAAGACAAACTTTATTATTGGTCTGACTAAATTTAATTTGTATGAATTCTGTGAATACTATCATCTCCATATTTTGGCGTTACTCTAGGTATAGTTAAATATCTTGGAGTATATGATTGGTGTTCTTTCATGACATAAAGTCTCTTAGCTTGATTAAGTATACTACCGAAGTCACAAAGATTTTCTATTTGATCCTTATATGGTTGAAATCAACATAACTTTTCAATGAACTCATTCATCCAATCATATTTGACTTCAACTTCAAAAGTAGTACTGTATTCTTATTTTGTAGTAGATTGTGTCATTATGTTTTTCTTGGACCTCATTCCAACTAAACTCACTCATCATTACACAATGAAGTCATAATCCATTTGTAATTCATAATTATCTACATTTGTTTAGAAATTAAAATCATATGTATCTCTTTACATGAAGGTCTTATTCTAAACTAATTATCTCATATACAATCTCTTAGTTCTTCTTAAGTACTCTTAGAATGTTCTCATAGTCATCCAATGACTTAACCATGTATGATATGACATAAATGATGGATTTATTTTCCAAGAAAGTATAAATCGTTTCATCTAGCTCAAACCAAGGTTGTAGAACTCGTTACTCGGTACCTGTTCGGCCCACTACCGAGTATCAAGTACTCGAGAGTACTCGGGGAGTACTCAGATTCGGTAATTCATGTAGAAATATTTTTAGGGAACTTATATATATGTCAAAATCATAAGTTAAAATCTTAAGTTGATTGAAATATATAACAAAATTAT